TCTAAATCTTGGGGGTTCTTTGTGTGTACTCACCCAATTGTACTCACCTAGTTGTGGTTGCAGGGGTCGATTCATAGCTCCTGGGCCCAGCCTCTTCAATGGTAGCCACTAGGTCCACTCTCTTCCTGCTCCATGAGCTGTGTGTGTGTGTGTGTGTGTGTGTGTGTGTGTGTGTGTGTGTGTGTGTGTGTGTGTGTGTGTCCGTGTCTGTCTGTGTGTTTGTTAAGTGTAATTGCCTACTTGTAATTACCTATTTGTAGCTGCGGAAACATCTACGCTCCAAGAATTCCGTCTTCTGCATTTAATTCGGTATCCGTGAGAGGAGGATACTCATGAAGTTGTCAGTCTTGCTTTCCTTACATAGTTTTCTTGCGATAACAAGAGAATATTTCTTCTGACCGCCTTCATTCAAACGTTGGTATTTATTTCTTTGAAGATGGTTCGGTTTCGTTTCTGGTTTGTGTGTCAATTTAACAAATATTTTATTGAAATTAAATTATTTTCACAGGGATAACTTTTGAATCATTCTCCTGATGGGCTTCAGGTTTTCAACGATGGTGGGTTCGACATAAAGGAAAATTTAGATTGTTATTAGGCAGTGTACATGCTGGTGTTTGAAATGGATGGTAAGATTTTCAGTTCAGTATCATGAGAATGCTATATTTAACTGAAATGAAGGTATGAATTAGTTTGGGATTAGCAGTTTCCATAAGATAGCTTGAGAATGTCTCTACTTATGATCTTCAAATTTTCAACACGATTGAATTTTACATAATTGCCTTGGCTCACGTAGTTATTTTTTATCACCAGTTAGTCTTAAATTTTGTCTGTGTACCGCATTCTCACTTCTTCAAAATTCAACCGATTCTTTACCATTAGTGAATAACCTCTTCCATTTTTCTTTGGGAATAATGCACTGGTTATCATTCCAGAGAATTCTGTCTTTGATGACTGCTATGTATGGATTTTCTTTATCATACTAGAAGAGATGGAGTTACTGGCTCCTCTGCCTCTCAACACAGCATTCCATGCAACTTGACCTCCAGTTAATCAATCCTTTATAATCAGAGAAAATTTTTAAAAAATCGGGAAAAGGATAAATTTACGAACAAATACAATTCATTAATATACTAATAATGAATATATGGGGAATATAGAACAAATGGTAAAGTACCACTTATACAAGGTTACTGGAAGGGGGTGTTTATAGCAAGGATTCATTACACAACTGTAATTGTCTGTGGAAGCTTCACTTACAACTACAGTACTGACATAATTATTATGGATTGTTTTTGAAAATTCGACATTTTTCTAATAAAAGATCAATTAAATAAATTTCGTTGACTGTTAATGGATTTACATTTATACACCAGCACAGGTCAGCTAATTTACATTGACTACATTGCCTACACGTGCTTTAGCACGTGTAGGCATCATATTAACGATCAAAGTTTTGCATAATTCCTTGATTCTGGCACAATAAAACCAAACCTTAATGTCGCTCTACGAGTTGAACCTTGATCATAATGGGAACTTCGTGTATTTCATCCTTCAGTAAAGATCACTAAGCTCTCAACAGGGTCCATGTCGGGAGAATTTCGAGCCCATGTGAGCAGCTCAGCGCCATTTTGTGCGTATCATGTCCTTACTGATGTTGCCATACATGGGGCTGAGTCTTGTTGGAATATCCAACGTCCATGACCACACCAATCCCCTATCTGAGGCAATAATTGGCGTTGTAATACTTCTATATACTTAACCTGATTCATGGTACTCTCACCAATGAGCAACCGACTTGCTCTATGAACGGAAATGGCTCCCCACACCATGATTTTCTAAGGAAATTTGATCACGTTCTTGAGACATTCAGTTATAAAACGCTCACCTGACTTCCTTCTTACTGTCTGCACACAGTCATCCAGCACTGCAATGGTTGACACATCAGAAAACACCTGCAGCAAATGATTGGTAATCCTAACATCATCTGCAGCAATAGGAAAGACAAAAGAAGCTGAATGATAATCTTAATTTGCTCAAATAGAATTGTCATTGTACTAATAACTGATGTTTTATGAACAAATAAACTGAATGGCTAAATGCAATCCTTACATGCTGCCGTTGTTCAGAAGTCCACTCGATGTGATTCATAGCCCAGACTAAACGTTTCCGTATCAAGAGTTCATTAAGACGCGGCTTCTTTCTGGGACGATATTCTTTCAGTCCTCTCTCCAAAAGCATCTCATTAATTGTCCTTCGAGCAGGTTAACACCTGCTGCCGCTAAGTCAGTGAAAATTTGCTCTTCTGTTCGTAAGAGACATTCGTATTATTTTTAGATTTAATCTCGGTGTTTCTCGATTTCTACCACATCTTCTCCCATTAAATCTTGATCGTATTTGAACTTCTTAATTTTACTGATTGAGTTGAAACACCAAGTTCTATTGCTATGTCTTTTTCAGTGTGCGATCACTTAATAAAACGCTTATCTGCCCTGCTTGATGAGGACCCAAATCGCACAGAAAATACACAGTAATGGAATTATTATAGTCAGTAAGAAGCAGAAAGCAACCCTTGTGGGCCAAACCAGGACAATGAATTATTCAAAATTCTCATCGTTGGAAGGGCCACACGTGTTAAAGTACTTATGTATGCCAGTAGTAGTCAAACCAAATATTAATCAATGTAAAATAGTTGCCTTGTACTGGTGTATCAAAATAAATCCATTAGTAGTCAGTGAAATTGGTTTAACTGACCATTTAGTAAAAAAAAGAGTATCAGACTCTAAAAAAATCCATAATAATTCCAGTACTGAAGTCAAATACAGTTTCTAAATAAGTCTTCGATTCGTCTGTTGGTCCAGCCACGGCAAAGGCTCGATTTCTTTTTTAGATCCTCTCACGGAGAAGGGAGTGTGGACCTACTAGCGACCAACGAAGAAGCGGAGTCAGGAGCTATGACAAGACCAGGGCTTGGTCCCTTCTGTCCCGGTGTAGTAGGCTCCACTCCTTCCCTTGTAAGAACAAGTCACCCCTTTATTCCATGTCAAGTGGATTGGTAGGGTTGCAGGAGGATCACATCTCTCGTTACAGTGTTCTTTACTTCACCATTTTGTGATTCCACCTATATTTGTGTGCCACATTCTGATCTTCGTCTCGTTCACATTATGCAGAAACTTCTGGTACTGGGATCGACTTCTGAAGAGAGGGTGACTGTGAAGAGTGGAATTAAGGTGTGTGTTAGTTACCGTTGGTAAAGGCACTTGTTGATAGACACTTGGACTGTACTCAGTTAGTTGTGGTTGCAGGGGTCGAGTCACTGCTCCTGGCCCCGCCTTTTCGCTGGCCGCTACTAGGTCGCTCTTCCCTCTCCATGAGCTTTATCATACCTCCACTACATCACTTCCCAGACTATTCCACTTCCCGACAACTCTGACAGAAAAAATATTTCCTAATATCCCTGTGATTTATCCGAGTCTTCAACTTCCAACTGTGACCCCTTGTTGCTGTGTCCCATCTCTGGAACAACCTGTCTCTGTCCACCTTGTCGATTCCTCTCAGTATTTTGTATGACGTTATCATATCCCCCCTCTCTCCTGTCCTCCAGTGTCGTCAGGTTGATTTCTCTTAACCTCTCCTCGTAGGACATACCCCTTAGCTTCGGGACCAGTCTATCTGCAAACCTTTGCACTTTTAGTTTCCTTACATGCTTGGCTAAATGTGGGTTCCAAACTGGTCCTGCACACTCCAATATAGGCCTACTGTACACGCTGTATAGGGTATTGAACGATTCCTTATTAGATGTCGGAATGCTGTTCTTAAGTTGCTAGGCGCCCGTAAGCTGCCCCAGTTATTTGGTTGATGTGCGTCTCAGGAGATGTGCCCAGTGTTATATTCACCCCAAGGCCCTTTTCCTTGAGTGAGGTTTGTAGTCTCTGCCCCTTTCCCCCCTAGACTGTACTCCGTCTGCAGTTTTCCTTCCCCAATCTTCATGACTTTGCACTTGGTGGGGTTGAACTGCATGAGCCAGTTTCTGACATGAGCAGTTCTGGACCTATCCAGATCACTTTGTAGTCCTGCCTGGTCCCCGTCCGACTGAATTCTTCATCAACTTCACATCATTTGCTAACAGACATACTTTGGAGTCTATTCCTTCTGTCATGTTCACAAATACCAGAAACAGCACCGGTACTCGGACTGATCCTTGTGGAAGCCCGCTCGTCATAGGCGCCCACTCTGACGCCACGCCACGTACCATGACCCTCTGTCGTCTTCCTGACAGGCATTCCTAAATCCATTGCAATGCTTTCCCTGTTATCCCTGCCTGGTCCACCAGCTTTTACACTAGTCTCTTGTGTGAAACTGTGTCAAACGCCTTCTTACAGTCTAAGAAAATGCAATCCACCCACCCCTCTCTCTCTTGTCTTACTGCTGTCACCCTGTCATAGAACTCCAGTAGGTTTGGGACACAGGATTTCCCATCCGTGAAACCGTGCTGGCTGTTATGCTTATTCCTTTCTAGGTGCTCCACCACTCTTCTACTGATAATCTCCATGACTTTGCATAGCATACTTGTCAGTGACACTGGTCTGTAGTTTAGTGCTTCGTGTCTGTCTCCTTTTTTTAAAAACTGGGACTACATTTGCTGTCTTCCGTGTGTGTGTGTGTGTGTGTGTGTGTGTGTGTGTGTGTGTGTGTGTGTGTGTGTGTGTGTGTGTGTGTGTGTGTGTGTGTGTGTGTGTTGTGTTTGTGAGAAAGAGAATTTTAGATTATTCGTGTTTTATCTCTATTTTTTTTATCTGGAAAGGTTTCTACATAACTTATGAAAAGCTAAAACATTTCCATAATCATCTGAAACATTTCAAATACAACAACAAAGACGTCACCTCAACGTTGCTCGCCTCAGATTCATTACTTGTATCTCAACCTAATTTATTCATGAAAATAACCAATTATTTTTCTGATACATTTCAAGCACCTAAACTTTAATCAATTTTCTCCTGCAGGTAGCCCAGGTCGCAGCAGGAACAAGAAGGAAGGGAGCTCCTGGTCCCCGCCAGAATTCGACGAGACACTGGCGAACAACGTCACAGTTATAGAAGGAGAGACTGCATCTCTTCCCTGCGTTGTCACCAAGCTGAGGGGACGCTCGGTGAGTGCTGCTCAGGGAAGATGAATGGACAGTACGAGTAGTTTGTCAGGAGAAATAGGAAAATTTCTCTTGTCAAGGATCTTTGTCATAAGATTACATTCAGTAGCGCTTTTAATCATTTGACCGAGCACTTCGGCTAGCTTATCTGCTTACCTCACAAAAACACACAACTCATATGAAACGTGATCGTTAGTTTGAAGCCAAGATATATATATATATATATATATATATATATAATATATATATATATATATATATATATATATATATATATATATATATATGGTAGTAGGCTGGCAAACAACAACCACCCAGGGAGGTATTACCGTACTGCCAAGTGTGTGTGAAACAAACCTGTAATTGTTTTACATGGTGGTAGGATTGTTGGTGTCTTTTTTCTGTCTCATAAAAATGCTGGATAACAGGTATATCTTAATTACTTTTACTTACACTTAGGTCACACTACATAGGCACGCACATTCATATATATAAACAAACACATCTATGATTTTTCATCTTTTTCTTAATAATTCTTGTTCTTTATTTCCTCTATTCTCCATGGGAAAGTGGAAAAGAATCTTTCCTCCGTACGCCATGCGTATCGTATGAGGCGACTAAAATGCCGGGAGCAATGGGCTAGTAACCCTTGTCCTGAGAAAATACTAAAAAGAGAAGAAAAACTTTATAAAATTGGGATGCTTGAATGTTCGTGGATGTAGTCCGGATGATAAGAAAAAGATGATTGTTAATCTTATGAATAAAAAGAAGTTGGATGTCCTACCTCTAAGCGAAACAAAGCTGAAGTTTCAGTGGGGAGAAATAAATGGGATTAAGTAAGGAGTATCTGAGAGAGTTAGAGATAAGGAAGGGGTAGCAATAATGTTGAAGGACCAGTTATAGAAGGAGAAGAGGGAATATAAATGTATAAATTCAAGGATTATGTTGATTAAAAGAAGGGTCAGATGCAAAAATTGGGTCATAATAAATGCATCTGGAGAAGAGAGGAGTGTAGAGAGAGAGAGGAGTGTAGAGGAGAGGAGAGAGAGAGAGAGAGAGAGAGAGAGAGAGAGAGAGAGAGAGAGGGAGAGTTGGGGAGATATTAAGGGAGTGCGTAGGAATTTTTGAACCAAGTGAGAGTAATTGTGGTAAGGGACCAAAATGCTGAAGTAGGAGAAACGTTTAGAGAGGGTGTGGTAGGTAAGTTTGAGATGCCAGGTGTAAATGATAATGTGGGCACTTTGATTAAACTTTGCATACAAAGAGGTTTGGTTATAGGTAATTCATATTTTAATAAAAATAGGGTAAATAAATATACAAGATATGATGCTGGGCGTAATGACAGTAGTTTGATGGACTACATATTGCCAGATAAAAGACATAAGAAAGGAGGAACACTAAGCTGTTGCCAACTAGGCAGTCTTACTCTTCAGGATGTACATGTTTATAGAGGGGGCACAGATATATCAGACCACTTTTTAGTTGTAGCTACAGTGAGAATAAAAGGTAGATGGGATACAAGAAAAATAGAAGCAGCAAGTAAGAGAGAGGTGAAGGTTTATAAACTATAGGAGGAGGCAGTTAGGGTAAGATATAAACAACTATTGGAGGATAGATGGGCTAGTGAAAGTCTAGGCAACTGGGTTGAAGATGTATGGGGTAGGTTTAAGAATGTAGTGTTAGTGTTCAGCAGAAGTTTGTGGTTACAGGAAAGTGGGTGCGGGAGGGAAGAAGAGCGATTGGTGGAATGATGTAAAGAGAGTAGTAAGAGAGAAAAAGTTAGCATATGAGAGGTTTTTACAAAGTAGTAGTGATGCAAGGAGGGAGGAATATATGGAGAGAAAAAGAGAGGTTAAAAGAGTGGTGAAGCAATGTAAAAAGAGAGCAAATGAGAGAGTGGCTTAGATATTACCAATAAAACTTTTTTCAAAATAAGAAAAAGTTTTGGAGTGAGATTAATAAGTTGAGGAAGCCTAGGGAACGAGTGGATTTGATAGTTAAAAATGGGAGAGAAGAGTTATTGAACGGAGAGTTAGAGGTATCAGGAAGATGGAGGAAATATTTTGAGGAACTGTTAAATGTTGAAGATAAGGAAGCTGTGATTTCGTGAATAGGGCAGGGAATAATAACATCTTGTAAGAGTGAGGAAGAGCATGTGTGAGTGTGGGGGAAGTTCGTGAGGCAGTGGGTAGAATGAAAGGGTGGAATTGATGGGATAAAGATAGAAATGTTAAAAGCAGGTGGGTATATAGTTTTGGAGTGGTTGGTGCTATTATTTAATAAATGTATGGAAGAGGGTAAGGTACCTAGGGATTGGCAGAGAGCTTGCATGTTCCTTGGTATAAAGGCAAATGGGACAAAATGTAGTGCAAAAATAATAGGGAAATAAGTCTAGAGTATACCTGGTAAAATGTATGGTAGAGTTATTATTGAAAGAATTAAGAGTATTATAGCAGATGAACATGGAGGCTTTAGGAAAGGTAGGGGGTGTGTAAACCAAATAAACAGTGTGTACATAAGAGTAAAAAAGTTTTTTGACACATATGGATTTGGAAAAGGTGTATGACAGGGTAGATAGGGGGGCAATGTGGCAGATGTTGCAAATGTATGGAATAAGAGGTAGGTTACTGAAAGCAATGAAGAGTTTTTACGAGGATAGTGATGCTCAGGTTAGAGTATGTAATAGTAGGCCGTAGACAAGGATGTGTGATATCACCATGGTTGTTCAATATATTTACAGATGGGGTTGTAAGAGAATTGAATGCGAGGGTGTTGGCAAGAGGTGTGGGGGTTAAAAGATATAGAATCTAACACAAAGTGGGAGTTGTCACAGTTGCTCTTTGCTGATGACACTGTGCTTTTGGGAGATTCTGTAGAGAAGTTGCAGAGGTTGGTGGATGAGTTTAGGTAGGGCATATAAAAGAAGAAAATTAAAAGTGAATATAAGAAAGAGTAAGGTGATGGTGATAACAGAAAAAATAGGTGACGAGAGATTGGATATCAGATTATAGGGAGAGAGTATGGAGGAGGTGAATGTATTTACATATTTAGGAGTGCACGTGTCAGCAGATGGGTCTATGAAAGATGAAGTGAATCATAGAATTGATGAGGGGAAAAGGTGAGTGGCGCACTGAGGAGCCTGTGGAGACAAAGAACTTTGTCCTTGGAAGCAAAGAGGGGAATGTATGAGAGTATAGTTTTACCAACGCTCTTATATGGGTGTGAAACATGGTTGGGAAATGTTGCAACAAGGAGAAGGCTGGAGGCAGTGGAGATGTCTGAGGGCAATGTGTGGTGTGAATATAATGCAGAGAATTCGTAGTTTGGAAATTAGGAGTGGTGCAGGATTACCAAAACTGTTAGACAGAAAGCTGAGGAAGAGTTATTGAGGTGGCTCGGACAAATAGAATGACTTCGAGAGTGTATAAATCTGTAGTGGAGGGAAGGCGGGGTAGGGGTCGACCTAGGAAAGGTTGGAGGGAGGGGGTAAAGGAGGTTGTGTGCGGGACTTTGACTTCCAGCAAGCATGCGTGTGTGTGTTAGAAAGGAGCGAATGGAGACAAATGGCTTTTAGGACTTACTTGCTGTTGGAGTGTGAGCAGGGTAACATTTATAAAGGGAGTCTGGGAAACCGTCAGGCCGGACTTGAGTCCTGGAGATGGGAAGTACAATGCCTGCACTCTGAAGGAGGGGCGTTAACGTTGCAGTTTTATAACTGTAGTGTAAGCGTGCCTCTGGCAAGACAGTGATGGAGTGAATGATGAAAATTTTTCTTTTTCGGGCCACCCTGCCTTGGTGGGAGAAGGATATATATATATATATATATATATATATATATATATATATATATATATATATATATATATTATATATATATATATGCCTAGACAACATTGTTCAAAGATTCTTCTAAAAATGATGAGTACTCCTCCTTTAAGAGTATCTTTTAGGAAAAATATTCTGGGATTCTATTTAAGATAAATCTTTCGTTATATATTTCAGCAAAATGTTGTCAGGATATCATATAGATTCTTTAAATGTTAATTATTGTGTTATTAACAATACAGGTAACTGCAAATATTAAACCAACTCTGATCCTCCTATTATTTTGAGTTACTTTGCTGTGTCTGTGTTTTCCACACAGATGCTGTGAATAACTGTATGGATACATCTATACAATTATGGAAAACAACTATGATAACAATATGAACGTGTTCTATCACTTTTTCAGTGAAACTAGAAAAGTATAAATAAGGGCACAGATATTTATGGCAAATTTCAAAGTTTAAGAAATAAAATATTTTGGTTCAAGTATGTTGAAGGCTATGTCAGATATCTCCAGGTATTTCATAATTTATGAACTATTTGATCCAGGCGCACAGAGCTCTTACAAGCATGAAAGAGAACACTGAATTCTTAACCTTGTTAATGCATGACAGATATCTTTCGAGTTTAAACTCGTTGCACTTTTTAATAATTCAAACACTTAGAAATGGTATTGGGTTATTTTTATTCAAACTCAACACTAAATCTTATGGTTGGGACTTGGCTATTTAATTCAATTATGAAATTTATTAAAATATCCATTTCTGAAGATCATTCATATATCTCTACTCTGGTATTTTGCATTATGGGGCACATTTCTAAGTGCCAATATGGTGTAAAAAAATATTAACGACTAGGGTATGGGAATTTTTCATAACCATACCAACTTTTACATGAAGTTCTCATCAAACACAAATTTGATATCATTGCTACAATATAATAGGTTCAGTTGTTGTGAACAAAGGCAAAAGTTAAATATAATTGCACTGTTATTTAAAAAAAAAATTAAGTCAACAACAGGGACCCTAGCAAATATTTTTATATCAAGAGTAATTATTGTGATCTAAACACAGTTTATTTAATTAGTCCATTTGATTCCTATTGTTTATTAAATTAAAAGCGTTACCTACAAAAGAGTTGAGAATACTTACTAACCTCTTTTATTATTTCCAACAGAATCAATGGAACTAATTATGTTCTTAGTTGGATTATTTGGGTTATGAAGAGTATATAAGAAAAGCCTGGAATTAATATTAAACAGAACAAATATAGCATTAAATCAGGCTAATAGTTTAATGATCTGTTTAGTCATGTAAGAAATTACCATCATTTTGAGAAGTTAAAAATGAAAACTTGGTGACATGTTAAGTGATTGAATGACATATAATACTGTTTTCAAACTGTGTAACAGCAAATTCTGAGTTACACATGTTGTTCATGATCACCATATAAACGGGTAATTCCCTTTTATCTAGTGAACCAAGAAAACAAATGTTATCTTACTTTTTTCTAATAAAACTGCTTCTCAAAAATCTACAACAAATCCATCACCAGTATGGTAGAAGACATACGATCAGTAAGGTACTCACGAGCTCTGCAGTCTTCCAACATATCGAATCTGGCAATTACACTATCACCTAGGAAGGTACCGATAAAATTCACAAAATTTAAGACAAATAGAAAACGTTAGAAGCAACGTTAATCGAGCACCAGTTAAACTAACTTTTCAATAGGACACTTAATACCCGACTTAATATTTTATTAAACATTTAGAAGTTTACCCCAACATTGAATATAATTTTGAATCCAAATCCCCGTTCAACTGGCAAGTTTCCAAGAAGCTGCACACCTCACCCAAATATATACTACTTCAAGTCAAACTCTGACTCACCTACATGGAGCACTTGCTATCCCAGCAAGTCACGATTATTTAACAGGATTTTTCTCACAATTTGAAATCTGCTGAACACCTTAGACGAAAATGAAAATACACAAAAGAAATTTCTCGTACCTTTGTCTCCGAGTCAGTTTACGCTTATTATTAACACACACACACACACACACACACACACACACACACACACATTATATATATACATTATGCAAATATCGCATACTAAGCGATACAGGATGCAAAATAATCACGTCCATGTGAAGACGTCCTTTGGGAACGTACTTACTCGGACATCCTCTTCTCTCTTTTCTGCAAATTTTCCAAGTTCCTGATGGTGTGTTGATTGCAACACGAAAGGCCTAGAGCTATCATTTTACTTCCCCCATGGTTGATTTGCATTATATATATATATATATATATATATATATATATATATATATATATATATATATATATATATATATATATATATATATATTATATATATATATATAATGCAAAACAACCACTGTGAAAGAATAGAGAAATTCCAAGCGCTTTCGTGACTACTCACATTATCAATGAACAATGATAATGTTCCTTGATAATGTGAGTAGTCACGAAAGCGCTTGGAATTTCTTTATTGTTTCACAGTGGTTGTTTTGCATATTCTGAAATCACCTGTTTACTGTGATCTTATTGTGTGTTGTTATATATATATATATTATATATATATATATATATATATATTATACATTAGTATTTTTTTGTGTATTTGCCACCGATGACATGACTAATGAGGTGAGGTGTGTGACAGGTGTCGTGGATGAGGCAGCGGGATCTACACGTCATCTCCGCCAATCAGCTCATCTTCACCTCCGACGACAGGTTCAAGGTACGACAACTCGAATTTGGTATCAGCCTTTGTCTTTATATCTCTAGGTTTACCCTTTAAAAAAAAAGATCCCGCTTGTTTCCTTTTATGCATCTTATAGCTTCAAGTAGCTCGCCGTTCTTCTGTCTCTCACTCTCCTCAATGCAGGTTCTCCTGATGCCACACAGGAAGCTTCAACATGCCACGAAGCTGGGCTAAGGGTCAATACTCGAAGAGATTGACTATGCACACAGTTGTAAAGGCGCCGACGTCTCACTCTGATTTGTAAGGCACTACTACATGTTTGGTCCAACTATGACGTGTCGTGATGTACTGCATGGACACAGTTAAGATGGGGAAGGCCGTTCAAGAAAATTACGTATAAACATACTGCCAGCGAAATTCTCATTATAAAGTTTTGTAGTTGGTGCGGTCAAGCGTATATGAAATTCGTCTTAATCTTGTAATTATCCTGACTGCCGTGCTTGTAGAGTTCAACTTTTCGTTCTTCACAGTACCTGTAAGTCAAAAAATTGCCCAACATCTTTTTCTTTTTTTGTCAGTGTGTCTTCTACTTATAAACGCTCTGCTAACTAGTGATCATCGCTACCTGTATCTGACCTGTAGTCAATATTGACTCAGGCGATATTGACTGTAGGTCAAATATGGAAACATCAATGTAGTTATTTTCTCTAAGAAGTAAAGGTCGAGTCGTGTCATTTTAGCGAATCTCCTTACACTTGATGCCCATATTCACAGGCAATTGATAGATGTAGCTTTAGTTAACTGTTCTGGGTCGAGGACAAAAGTACACTAATGGAAATAATCCATGCTGCTTGATTTTTTTTAGGGGATGATCTTAGCCAATGACCCTTTGGGGTATAATAATTTGAAAAAGGTGTCTTCATATGTACGAAACAGATTTATTTTTAGATGGGTACTGTCGTTGATATTACACAAGAGCAAAGTACGAATGGAGTGTATCAAATTCTGTTTCATTAAGAACTTCTCTAAAAGTCCGATAACGATTGTAATCAATATGAAGGTGTAGTATGGAGCCAGACGTGGTGTCAGACGCAGTAAATACACCTGATCTTGGGTTCACCCACTGAATGATGCCTTGCACTGGAAAAGTTCAGTATCTCAGCCTCTTTTACAGCTTTTCCTCTCTTCTACTGGCGTATTAGAATGTTATCATAAATTAAGGTCATATTACCAACGACTGTAAACATTGACATTCATCTGTAGTTTCTAACCATTATCTGCATCTTCCTATTATGTATTTGGGGTACGTGTACATACTACGAAAATAGCCATACACTCTGTGTTAGAGCTGTCTGAGGCGAGTCAACAGCTCGGCCTCGTCAGACGACAATGCATGATGATTTGAATGTTGCACAAATTCGTTGGTTACCCTGCCTCGGTGGGAGACTGTCGTTGTATTAAAAATATACAATTTACATTTCATCTTTTACAAAGAAATAATGAAAGTTTCTCAAAATATCTGGTAAATAGTTTCACTAAAATGGTACTCTGACATCACATACGTTATTGTACTGCTCTTTATTCCTCAGTAAGTGAGTAATCAAATAAGTAGGTTTAAAGAAAGCGAATTAAGGTTTGCCACATAATTTCCACTTAGTATGAGCAAGAACTCATCTAAAATCAAGTCTTTCTGATATCTTTAAAGATACATATTTTTCATTAATTTTAATGTAAAAATTTGTATTTTTGCACCAAAAGAATCTTAGAAAACTTACCTAACCTTATCATAACAAGCTCAATTTATTTTAGCCTAATCCAACTAAATATATTCTAGATACGCATACAATAATTTAATACTAAACAAACACAATGAAATATATTTTCTCGTTAGGTTCAGAATGATTTTTACGAAATTATTGCATACACAAATTTTCGCTTGTCTTGTTAGGCAAGATGAGTGGTGCTATTTAAGCCAAGATTGCAAGCTTTACATATTTGGCACATTATATACATTATATATATATATATATATATATATATATATATATATATATATATATATATATATATATATATATATATATATATGTGTGTGTGTGTGTGTGTGTGTGTGTGTGTGTGTATGTGTGTGTGTGTGTGTGTGTGTGTGTGTTTTGATTTATTCTTAATCGACTATAACAGAATCTGACAACTCTGGCCTTTATGATAAAGCTGATAAATCAGCCAGAGAAAGTACTTTGAAGGAAAGATTCATATGTACCGTCAATCTATGTCACGTATTAAAAATAGCATTAAGAGAAGTAAATTTGAATCTGAAGGTTTTAGGAATGTATTTTAAAGCCTAAGTAGAGAGAGGAGGGGGAAAGGTCCGTCAGACCGAGACAAAGACAAATATTTCCTCGCTGTTTAGAGCATGCAGAAGTGGACAAAAAAAAAAAAGAGAGAGAAATCTCTATTTCGAGGAACATATATGGAATTCAGAAGCCTTTTGGGTGAGTAGAAGGTGAAAGATTTGTATCACTATTCACTATGCTCCTCGCTGAATTACCTCACCACGTTGCTCTCACCTGCGTCACTTGCAATCCTGCTCAACTTAACGCTGGAATACCACTGCTCCATGGAACTATGATATAACATAGAAAATGGGTATGATTGGAACCCATGGAAAGCTTGTCCTAAAAGCAGTAGGTCAGTATTCCCACCACAAGTCTATGTGGTGAGAATACATTAGAGAGGTTGACATGCATTTCACTGTGACAACAAATGCAAGTTTTTATAGACGAGTCTGACACCCACATGGCTCAAGTCCCTTCAGAGTCACTGCCTGAGATTCGCGATAAATAACTCTTGGAACGGATGTGATGAAATCCAGGTCTAACCCGTTCAGAAAACAGCAAGCAAGTGCTTTCACTACTGCACCACGCAGGCTTATTAAGATCCGTAAAACTGATGAATTCGATTCATGTGTAACATCTAATAAATAATTAGGAGATAATGAATGAAGTAATCAGTCTCTTGGCCTTGAAAATGTTGAAACTCAGACAGTAGAGGAGGTAATCAGTCCCTCAGCCTAGATATTCACAACAGTGGCCGCCATGCGGTAGAGAGCTTAAAGCTTGATCTCATTGTTGCCATGTACCTGTGACAGTCGTCCGTAAACACTTTGCATTTGTTGTCACTGTTGATTCCATGCTAACCTGTCTTGTGTGTAGAAATTGAACTCGTGTGGTCTAGTAGGGAGAACACTGGTGTGCCAGTTTAAGGACTGGTTTCCAATGAGCTCATTACAATAGTTATGATTATCGTGAAACATTGACTTCTATATATTCCACTGCCAGACAAAAGAAAACCGTTAATGTTATGTGGTTATTTACGGTTTAAGTATAGGTAAATAGAGGTTAAGGTATGTAAACCTAACCTAGGATAAAAAATATAACCATGTGTATAAAGGCTACTTGAGGCTAAATCCAGGAACTGTAAAGTGTGTATGCGCAAACGACCGTCCTGTTTGGAGGAGAGGTTGTCAGCGTGAACCACGATTACATCCTCATGATTACATCCTAGCGGCTGGCTTGAGGCTCAGCCACAAGCACCTCTGTCAGTTCTTGTGTAAAGGAATCCCCTTTACACGAGGCTCGCTCTGTTGACATCACCACCATCACAACCGTCAGCACCAGCACCACCACCATCATTCCAATCACCACCACCACCACTACCCTCATCACCACTATCCCAACCATCATCACCAGCACCATCATTATTCCTAGTATCACACTACCAGCACCATCATCACCAGCACCACCATCATCATTATTCCTAATATCACCACCACCAATGCCAGCACCATCACCACCACCATCCCAACCATCATCACCAGCACCATCATCATTATTCCTAATATCACCACCACCACTACCAACACCAACATCCCAACCATCATCACTAGCACCACCAGTATCATTATTATACCCAATATCATCAGCACCACCACCACCATCATTCCTAATATCAGCACCATCACTAGCACCGTCATGACCATCATCACCACTGCGACCATCACTATCATTATTTTCGTCATTGCATTCACCACAATCATAATCATGATTATTGTAATAATTATATGTCTGCTATTAAAAAATAATTCATAATTATAATAAATATTACTAAATCTAAGCACGTTGGAAAAAATATATTTTCCAATCATCTCCTAAATTACTGAATTGCTGAAATAAAATTAATTCAAATAATTTGTAATTTTAATGGGAAAATTGATTGTGTCCTAAACTTGAATATCTATAAACAAATCAGTACATTAAATTGGTACCGAAATCATTTACAAATTAAAATTCAACTTTTTAAAATGCAATAATCAAGTATCTCTTACAAATAATTTAGGCCACGAGAGAGAGAGAGAGAGAGAGAGAGAGAGAGAGAGAGAGAGAGTATCTCGCATCTGCTTGACAGTAGGGGTTGCAAGATCCTGTACGTGGCACAAGTACGCTCGCACCTTGAGTATGCTCCACTTTCTTGGTTTGCCTGCCCCCCCCCTTTCATCTGCGACTGCTTGACAGAGTAGAGAACAGAGCAAGACGTCTCATCTCTCGCCTGGACCCATCCTGGATAGATCTGTCATTTCAGCAGAGCCTTCAACATAGGAGGGATGTGGGTGGCCTTACTGTTATGTACAAGGCCAATATTGTCAAAATACCACACTTGGATCCACTTCGAGGACAGCGTGAAACAAGCTTTTATGCCACAAGACGGGCAGAAAGCAGCAACTTCACTCTGGCTGTACCCTTCTCCAGAACATCACTCCATCTGAGATCATACATACCCAGGATGACTAGAGTATGGAACACATTCGTACAGCATAATGATGTCAACGAGATAAAGTCAGTTGATCAAATGAAAATGCTGGCCCACAGGTGGCTCCAACTTCATCCTGTTTCCTACTTGTATGTCTCATAACAATAAAAATGCTTTCAAATGAGCTGATGTAGGTAACAGCTCTTAGTTTGCCAATAAAGTTAGGAATCCTTAACCTGTAAATAGCTGTCAATAAAGCTAGGGATCCTTAACCTTGTCAAACCCTGTGTAAAAAAAAAAAAGAGAGAGAGAGAATTATATCTAATAGATTTAAAAGATTTGTATGCACTAAAAGACTGGTTTGTGTGCTGGCGGTAGTGTTGTAGAAGGCTCGTGACCACTTCAGTTATTGGTGTGTTATATCTTTGCTTGTAGAAGTTAGTGATACCTCAGTAACTGTTGTAAGTGTACTTGTAGAGGCTACTGATACCTCAGTAATTGGTGTTATAATTGTACTTGTAGAGGTTGTAAGACCGCAGTAACTGGTGTGTTATAACAAAGTTTGCTACAAGATATCATCACGTTGGATAATTACTTAATTTTAATTGATATACTCGTGAGTAAATATCGTGTGCTTTTAGCCAGGCCTTGACAATCCATTGGTCACAGAGGAGCCGAGATTGACAAAAGAGAACTCGTTAATCGAACTTAATAATATGCTTTACCTGAATTATTTATACTGAAACCTATACATTGTATACAATGCAAATAATTATATATAATTGTTCTTGAGCATGCGAGGTCACGCTAGGTCAGGTCATCCTGGGATCACCTTAGGCAACTTTCCTCTGACAATAATATTGTTACATTTCACAATGTTCTCCATTTTTCATACCGTGACCACTATATCAGTACTGTACTGTTTATGTGCTCTTTATTTAACAATGCACCGTTCAGTTTATGATTTCCTCTTTATTTTACAATGTTCCACTTATTATGTACTCAGTGATGTTCCATTACCATCACACCTTTTGTGTACCAGTATTCTGTCATTTCAACAACTTTTACCTAAGCAGCCATTAAACCTGCTACGTATCTTTTAATTAAGCCATCCCTTTCTCGTAAACCACATATCATACCAACAAACGTTTCCTAACTACACTTTTTCCTTTAGCCAACGATTCTTCCCTTGATAACTTCCTAAACGTGTACAGATATGCCGAGTTTTAAACCAACTATGCATCGTGTGAATAAGACACATACCCACGGTTAAAGCTTTTGTTGAAATGACTTTTTTTGCTACTAGTGGCTTTATTAATTCTAAGTTTGGTTGACTGAGCAATTAGTGGCGAAACGCTTATGTTTATTCTTCCCATAATTTGTTGGCATGTAACTGTACTGGTTCAACCAGCTATTCCTGCCCCTTTAGTTCAACCAGCCACATAAATATCAACACTTCCTAATTATTATTATTATAATCAAAAAGACAACACTTCCTAAAGCAACGCTCCCTCCCTACTTTCTCTAGGATCACTGGTGTAGCCCAGATGTCTGCTAACACTGCTTTTGGATCTTCCCGAGCAGGTGAGGATGGACAACGAAACCTCTTCCTTCACATTGGAGGTGGGTGCAGCTCTAACTAACGACTCCGGTGTCTACGAGTGTCAGATCAACACCAGACCCAAGCTTTCTCGCCCAGTCACCCTCACTGTACAGGGTGAGTCTTAAAATGAGTTTGAGGAACCTTTTCTAATAAGACATCTTTCAACAGAGCAAGATTTATTGGGACATCGGACACCTAATAGCGAAACAATTTTCTAATTGAGGCTTATTTTAATGTGTGTGTGTGTGTGTGTGTGTGTGTGTGTGTGTGTGTGTGTGTGTGTGTGTGTGTGTGTCTGTGTGTCTTTTCTGTCGTCAGTACGATCTTCAACCCACTTTAATGCACTTTTACTCATATTCTCATCCTCTCTCTCTCTCTCAAGTCTCGTATTTTTAACAAGCCTTTTCTCAGAAGGTGGGTTAAAACATGACCCCCTCCCCTCGTCCCTGTATTTTACTCTTTCAGAGAGCAAACATTTTTATGTTGACATTTGACATGTTGTCTAATATCGTGGTCAGAGTTTCATTTCCACTGCTAAAGTCTCTTAAAAAATCCCTCAATGCAAGAGTCTTTCAAAATTGTCTAAGTTTTTGTTCTTGGCAGTTGTGATGTACTGATGCTAGTGGTTAAGGTGTTGGTGATAGTTGTACAGTGGTAAGGGGTAGCGGGTATTTTTTTGTCTTGGGTGTAATGATGGTGGTGGTAATATTAGTTGTGCTGAAGATAGTGGATGTAATTTTTAATCGTGGTGGTGTTAGTGGTAATAGCTGCTGTCGTGTGGGTGGTTGGGAGGTAATGACATGAAATACAGACACTATTTTGATGAAAAAAGACAAATGCTGTTACTCGAAATCGCTCTTGACGATGTTTCGACCATGTAGTTACCTTTAGCAAGTCACAGGCAAATGAGTCTAGTCCGGGAGGAAGAGTTTGTAGTGAATTAAAGTGAGGTGAAGAACAGTGAGGCATATCTTAAATGTCCCAAGTTTTCTGGCAAGATGTTCAGCAAAGCTGTAGAAACCATTGTTCTGGATGAAATTATTTTTAACACTAATGAGTGCACTTTAAAGGCATCAACTTGTGTTTCGTCCTCCATCGCAATTAGTAGTGCACCATCACAATTTATCAGTTTATGTGGAAACTACAGTTTATGAACAATGCATTGTTTAGGTTATCTGTTATAATGATGAACTGCTGCTTTGCATTGCGCCTGTATAGGTCTGTGGATGACCAGACTTTGTGGATGTTGTTCACTTCTATAGAAATGAAGATAAATGGTTCATTGAACCGACAACTTGATAAATTAGACACGTGTTACACTTGGTAACTTTATTGCGGAAACTTTCCGCCACAAATTGATGTCCTCAGTCCAAAACAGAGAATAAATATTGAAGATCAGGAGTTTGAGATAAGTCCCACAGCCTGAGTTGATGTAATCAGCCCATCAGTATGATAAGACTGCACATGATAAGACTGCACAGGATAAGACTGCACAGGATAAGACTGCACAGGATAAGACTGCACATAAGATGATTGCACTTCATTAGATATGAAAACCTTTTATGAAAAATATCATATTTTATATTGGTGTCGTGGTCTGGGTAAAAGTGGAAAAGATCGTGTTGGTTACATTGTTTTCCGATAAACTGCGAACCAAGTTCGTTGCCAGATTTTTATTAAAAGGCATTCACAAGCTATCACATGTAAACTAATTTTATCATTTCTTCAATAAAAAAAAAAGTCACAGTGGCACCGGCAGACCCATAAACCAATAAGATACACCCACGAGGACCAGTATCCCAATTAATTTATTAGTGTTAGCTCTAATTCCTTGAATCAAGAGCCATTCACCAGCATCAAAAGATCTGCTTGATTTTGGTCTGTGTAGGTGGCAACTTTCTAATTTTAAAAAACTAGGAAAATTTAAAAAAAAAATTGTGCTGATATATTTTACTTAGAGGAAACTCTGGATTGTTTCCGGACTGTGTAAGATTCCAATTTGCAAAAATTTATTTCTACTCCTCAGCTATTCTTGTTTGACAGATCATAAGTTGTATACAGACTAGGTGGGTTTTGTTCGCTGCGTGATCCGAGAAAGGTATCTCTGTATCCCATAAGCCTAGCTCCTTCTGCCTCAAGGCAAGCAAAAGGAACAGTGCAGTGCGCGCCGTGTCTAATGCAGCTAAATATCAGAGTTGCTATTTGTATTTTGAAGTTGATCAGAAGAAGCTTTTCCAGTCATTGCACAACAAAAATTGAAAGTGGCTATGTAAAATTTAAAAAGTAAGATGATTAGCAACACTAGAAATCTTTATAGACGAAACGTTTCGCCTGCATTGCAGGCTTTATCAGTGGAATACAGAGATGAATCAGAATCCTGGAGACATCAGTGTTGATGGAAGACGAAGTAGACGAAGTGTAGAGGTAGTTTGATGTAATCAATCCGTCACTGTAGCAGCAGGATGACAAGTCTCTTAACTAACAGACGTCATCTTGCTCCAAGTGTGATGAACTGATCACATCAAACTAATCTACATTTAGTCAGCCCTGTCTACCATCAACGCTGAAGTCTCGAGGACTCTGATTTATCTCTGTATTCGATTGGTGAAGCCTTCAACGAAGGTGAAACGTTTCGTGAATTAAGATTATTAGTGTTGCAAATGCGTCTTACTCATCAACTTATCGGTATTTATTATATGATTATATATAAAGAATAAAGAATTATAAAGAATTATTATATATAAAGAATAAAGAATTATGGGGAATCAAATACAAAATGGGAATTGACACAGTTGCTTTTTGCTGATGATACTGTGCGCATGGGAGATCCTAAAGAAAAATTGCAAAGGTTAGTGGACGAGTTTGGGAGGGTGTGTAAAGGTATAAAGTTGAAAGTGAATATAGTAAAGAATAAGGTGATGAGGGCATCAAATGATTTAGATAAAGAGAAATTGGATATCAAATTGGGGAGGAGGAGTATGGAAGAAGTGAATGTTTTCAGATACTTGGGAGTTGACGTGTCGGCGGATGAATTTATGAAGGATGAGGTTAATCATAGAATTGATGAGGAAAAAAAGGTGAGTGGTGCATTGAGGTATATGTGGAGACAAAAAACGTTATCTATGGAGGCAAAGAAGGGAATGTGTGAAAGTAGAAAAGTAACAACACTCTTACATGGGTGTGAAGCTTGGGTTGTGAATGCAGCAGCGAGGAGACGGTTGGAGGCAGTGGAGATGTCCTGTCTAGGGGCAATGTGTGGTGTAAATATTATGCAGAAAATTCGGAGTGTGCAAATTAGGAGAAGGTGTGGAGTTAATAAAAGTATTAGTCATAGGGCTGAAGAGGGGTTGTTTAGGTGGTTTGGTCATTTGGAGAGAATGGATCAAAGTAGAATGACACGGAGAGCGTATAAATCTGTAGGGGAAGGAAGGCGGGGTAGGGGTCGTCCTCGAAAAGGTTGGGAGGGATGGGGTAAAGGAGTTTTTGTGGGCGAGGGGCTTGGACTTCCAGCAAGCGTGCATGAGCGTGTTAGATAGGAGTGAATGGAGACGAATGGTATTTGGGACTTGATCTGTTGGAGTGTGAGCAGGGTAATATTTAGTGAAGGGATTCAGGGAAACCGGTTATTTTTATATAGCCGGACTTGAGTCCTGGAAATGGGAAGTACAGTGACTGCACTCTAAAGGAGGGGTTCGGGATATTAGCAGTTTGATGGGATATGTTGTGTATCTTTATAGGTATATGCTTCTAAACTGTTGTGTTCTGAGCACCTCTACAAAAACAGTGATTATGTGTGAGTGAGGTGAAAGTGTTGAATGATGATGAAAGTATTTTCTTTTTAGGGATTTTCTTTCTTGTTTGGGTCACCCTGCCTCGGTGGGAGACGGCCGACTTATTAAAAAAAATAATATAAAGAATACCAGTGTTTTCCTCCATATCACAGTAATTCCATGAAAGTTTTCCTTGTTATAGTTCACTTGCCTTGGATATTTGAATCCGGTCGAATAAGGCGTTTTTAATGTATCAACAAAAAAGTCTTTAAGGGAAAGAAAACTATGCTTAATTATATGACTGGCTCAGTAATAAAGTCGTAATTAAATATGATATTTACGGTCTCACTTTATTTGCGAAATTTAAAAGCGCCTTGAAAATGCGAGTTTAATATTTTTTTAAAGTTTTCTTAATTTTCTTCTCTAATTCTCTACAGTTCAAAAAGATATATTGGAGCTTTATAATTTTTATGAAAACGGAATTTACGTACCTCCTGTAAAGTGATAGACAGGGACAGCAGAAAGATTAAAGTAAAATTTTTGCAGACTAGCGCCTGCAATCCAGCAACAACACGAGGATTCCTCTAAGACATTGCAGCTTTGAAAGCTTGAAAATAATCGAATGAGGCATTGACAAGTTATTACATGTAAACCAATACTTAATTTATTTTTTTTTTTTTTTTTGCTTAAAATTTTGCAGAATGTCACCTGCGAAACAAGATAAATTTTAGTTTTTTTGCTTGAAATTTACAGAATAACACTTATGAGACACATCAGCTTTTAGCGGTTAAAGTCGATTAGAAGAAACAAATTAAATCTTACACAAAGTTAATGCAGTCCATCCTTTAACCAAAACTCACCATCACTAAGATTAAAACTGATCAAAAGAGGAATTTTCCAGTTATTGCTCGGAATCCAGCGATTACATATTAACTATATTAGTAAATTAGGAAATATAAATTTACAAAGTCGAGACTTACAGGACAATATGGTCTCCACACGACGCATCAACTAGTCAAGATTGAAGCAGTTCAGAAGAAGCATAGTCATGATATTTCTTGGTTGTACGTATATTAAGTAGAATAAGCTTGGCAAACTGGCATCTACATACTCCTTGTAATTCGGTAAATTAGACAAATGCAACACTTGGGTTTCTTTATTGATACCCAAGTGTTGCACATGTGTCTAATTTACCAACTTGTTGGTTCTCTGAACCATTTATCTACATTCTTCTAAGTAGCATACATCTGTGTTAAAATTTGAAGCATCAGAGACGAATTCTTCAGTTATAGCATGAAAGTCAAAATCGAGAATGATGTATATATACCTGACCAGAAATTGTTT